ACACAGACTACATTTTTCCCCTCATGTCCAGTGTTTTCTTCATTTACCTTCAACAGCTTCACGGCAGTTTGTCTTCAATATATGCACATTATTTATTGATCTGGGATTTTCCAAAGCTACTAAAGAGTGGTTTGGGATCCCAGCTTCTATTGAATTTCAATGAATCTACTCATAAAAGAATTAGGAGCTTTTGGAAATTTTATCTTTTTTTATTGCATACCACAAGAGCAACATTGCATCCAATTATCTTATCCTTTGCTGGTAAAAGAACTACAACAGAGGTACCCAATTAACAATTTTTAAGCTTGTGAATTTAGTCTCACATAATTAGCATCCAGAAAATGAAAGACACTATTTTAGCAAACGAAGTGAGACTCAAGTTTTTAAACAAGGTACTTCTGGTTGCTGCCTTTCTTTTGCTCCTCCAAGTTCAGTTTAATCATGATTATAAAAGATTATATTCCCTCAAAATCCCAGAGAAAGATTATTATCAGAAATAATTTCAACATTTTATGATTAAGCTGCATCTACTCAAACTTCTAGAGGCAAGGCCATTCAAATTTGATGATGTATTAATGGAACTAGGCTTGTTTCGACTCAGGAGCAGTAAGCCACAAATAAATTGTGTGGGTAGCAGCTCTGCAAACAGTCACTTGCATAATATTTAAGAAAGCTCAAATACCAGAACAACAGCACCAGGATCACAAACAAAGGGCAGTTGAGGACACTACGAGAGACAAGAGTTGCAGCCTGGTGGTCCAGAGTGAATTGCTTTCAGGATTTTCTTGCTGCTAAAATAACTGTCAAGGACCTTCGTATCTTGGCAGTAGGAGATCTCATATTGTAGGTTTGGGTTTTTTTCCCCCCTCATAAGTTATTCATGATACTCAAGCAATACTTGGTTGTAATGGGTAGTCGTGCTGTTGCAAAGCTCTGCTGCCTGCAAGGTGTCACAGAAGGAAATGAGACGAGCTCAGGGTAACCTTGTGCCAGACCTCGAGTCTCTCTTCTTAGAGCAAGTTATCAGGCAGTGTTATAGCACCTTCCTCTGCTTCATGGCTAAGAGACAACAGAGCAGCCTTTGCTGGAACTGCTGCTGCACCCAGCATTATGAAATCCAAACACAATCAATGTGTACAGTTCCAGAAAGAAGCTACAGAAAACAAGCAATTTCTCTTCCTGCTACTCTGTTTCACCTTGCCCTGGTACAATGCATTCTGATACAGAGGAGTTGGTGAACTGAGATTTGAAAACAACATGCAAGCCAGACCAACTCTAAAGCTGCAAACACACAGAAGAATCCCTCAGCACTAAATAGAAAGAGTAGTTTGCCAATGTACCTTTTAGATCTCAACTCTGTTAATAGGAAGCTGAGGAAAAAAAGAGGTAATAGTACATCAAATCAAATATTTGACTAGATTTCAGAAGCCATTGATATTCCTTGGGCATGGCTTACTTACAGATGTGTTATTCATAGGTACAAGTGTGGAATGCTACAAACATGGATGCCCCAAAATAGCAATGTTGTAAATTGTTGGGTTTTTTTAAGATGCAACCAATTAGTGAACTTCTCTACTTATGCCACTATAAAAATTGCTGAGATAGGCAAATGCTTACAGCTTAAGACCAGCACTAGTGGCAAGAATGGTAAAATAAAAAAAAAAAATCCAATCCTAACACCAAAAACCAACCAACCTGCCAACAATCGAAAAAACAACCAATCAAACAAAACAAAGGAAAAAAAAACCACTAAAACCACCCACAAGAAAACCAGTATGACACTGATGTTTCAAACTAATGAGTGCCTACAACAGGCAGCAGTGAACAGACAGTAGATGATATATTTGAGTTTTGTAATTGTCTCACCAAAAATGTCTGTCAGGTGAGTCTGCAGGCAGAAATTTTTTTTATTCTTTTTACAGTAAGGAAGTCCTCTAAACATTTGCATGAACCTCCAGACCAGCAGCTATCTTTAAAAAAGTCAAACTGTCTGGCCAGATTCTGGGCTGTCTGATCTAGTTATATTGATTTCAAGTGAGCTTGCTGATTTAGCCTACTGAAGAACCCAGCAGCATCTGATTAGGTTAAGTAAATTGATTTTTGAATCCTGACTATTTCAAAAATCTTGTGAACAACCTAGAGACCACCCAGGAAAGGGTAAAAATTACTTGATCAAGAGTTTTATTAATACATTTTATTTCTAAAAATCATTTTTTTTTCACCAACAACTCAGGAACAGAAAAGCAACAAAATTTGTTCACTAAATTATTCATTATGAGTTACTGAACTGAGTTCCTATACTATAAAAAGCAGCAGTTCCACGGAGAGCAGAAAGAATTACAGCTGCTAAGAAACAGTGGAGAATACAAGTGTAGGTGCTGTAGGAATTCACTTCTGGCACTACAAAGCTATTTGAAAGACCATTAAGTGGAAGATGGGCAGTAGAAGGGGAACAGACTGGTGCTGGAAGCTGCCTATTGACACAAAAGAACACAAGGAGTGCCAGGAAACCCCCCAACACAGTTGCAGAAACTCAAGGAAGCTGTGGCTGCATAAAGCCCTGCCCCAGCCTTTGCCAACACAGGGGCTGAATTCAATAATAAATAAGTATGCCACCTTTTTTGTCCTTTCTGTCCCATCCTAGATCTCTTGACAACACTAATAAAGGGACTAGATTTGGGGATTTCAGGTGGATTCCTTAGGAAATTAGCTGATAGAGTCATATCATATATGTTTGTACAGCCTAATAACTTTCGAGTTCTATTGCAAAATTTGGTTTAAATGCCGCCAGAAGAGAGGCCACAAAGGTATTTAGTTCCTAGAAGTTTTCTGCAAATAGATGGTTGAGTGATGAGGTTAATAAAACTTTTCATATGCTTACCATGGGAAAAGCTACAGTTTGAGAATTTCTCTCCTTTCCTACACTTTGAAATCCCCACAGGAGAGAAGTTAAGAACTTCCACTTGCAGGAAAAGCTTTCATCAATGCTTGTATATTATAAGAACCCAGAAAACCCTATTACTAGGCACAAATCCACTCAAAATCAATCAAACTCCATTTGTTTATGGCTATAGGAACAACTAGCAATATCTGTCAGGCCACACCACATAACTCATCGCACATAAGTCAGAAAAGAGCTGACAAATGGAGACCGAGTTCATCTATAAACAAACAGATACATGACCTGGTGCACGAAATCTGGAAGGTGCTGTGTCCCTGGCATTAGCAGCACAGAGTCCTCAAATATAAAATAAGAATATTTTAATGCAATTTTTAAATCCCTACAGATACCCTGATGCAAAGCATCAGCAGGAAGATTCAGGACTGTTATATTCATCTTTAATGAGAAACAAGTTCCCTGATGCAACCAGAGTATGCACACATATTTCAATACTTTGACAGTAAATTATGCTGACTAAAAGAAAATACAGAATCTACAAGACCAAAACATAATTGTGAGCAATTATGTTTTTACATATCTCAACATATTTTTCTTATGTTTCACCCAGAGTCCCAGTGCTGTCACTTGGCTCTCACACAGAGTCCTGGGCTGACTGCACCTACGACTTAGGACAGCCCAAGTAATATAACCTACAGAAATTGTTCACATTTGTGAAGGGGAAGGTGTTTCCAAGAGGACCAGGTTGGTTGATGTCAGGAGAAGTGTAGACTAGCTTTTCTATCCGTTCCCCTTTCTTCGAGATATCAATAAACTTCTAATGCTGTGTTTTCAATATGCCATGACTTTAAATGTCATTGCTGCACACAGATCTTATGGACCAGTACAATAACCATGCAAAGCTCTCAAGAAGAAACTGTCTGGGGATCCAGCAAGCTGCAGGATACACAGGAACTACAGGAATATCAGGAGGCAAATTAAAAACTGTGTATGTGACCATTTTTGTGCTAGTATCACAACATTCATTAGTGGGCAGAAAAAAATACCAATCCTGTGCTTGGAAATATATCAGGGAAGATGGTAATCAATCAACAGTGCAGTGATAAAATCTTAACTGTACCTTCTGCTTCCCACTACAGGATGTTATTTTTGAGAATCCCAAAGTGCTCCAAAGGTGGTTAATCAGAGCACCCTCACCACAGCCCTGGAGGCAATTTTCTGATCTGTTCCAGAGAATGAGCAGTGGAGCAGGAAGGCTGCAATCAGCAGGGCAAGGTTTGCCCAGACAGAAATGGCTCCCAGACATCTTGAGTTTCTGTCCCTCACTTTAAAGATTACACTCCTAAATACCGTCTGATGTTTGATATTTTCTTGTCTTTCAGCAGCAAACCACATTTCTAGTCTTCCTGATTGTCAGTGTTGCTTTGATACAAAATACATGGTTCTTCTCTTATATTAAGTGATTATCCTGGGGATAAAATCAGGAAATTCCCTCATTTTCCTCAGAACGCAGGAAACAAGGGAACATTAAGATTTAATAACACCCCATCAGTCGCCTACAAAGCTGATAAGAAGAAAGGTTGCTACTCCGGTGTTCAGAAGCTCTTAGCCACATTAAAAAAAAAAAAAAGTCTTCACTATAATTAAACATGTTTTATTAAAGCTTTCCCTCATTTTCCTTTCTTTGCTTCTTTCCCCTTCATAGCTCTTACATGTTCTTTCATTCTTCCCTTTGATGTTTGTATGCTTTTCATACTTGTATTGAAAATATTTTGCACTACTCATTTCCACCCCACCTCCCCTTTAAATGTATTGAGAGGAACACATTTTCACTGAGTCTGACTTCGACTGCCCTCTCAGCTCATCCACAGCTCAGTGAGAGCATAGAGAACACACTCTCTAGTGACAGAGTTCATTACAAAGTGGCACAAGAACAAAACACCTTCCATCTCTTCCATTTCTTTTGTCTCTCACCTACAAAGTGAATGTAACCTGCTCACCTTGATCGGAAGACTCGCACAGGATTTATAAGACAATTGAATAGCTATAAATGCTACAGTTAAAAGGAAAATAAAATAAGAGTGGTTCCTTCTTTACTTACATGTGTCTAAAGACTCATCTGAATCATCAGGACAGTCAGGCTCTCCATCACACAGCCAGTGCTGGGAGACACAAGTCACGCGATCGTGACACAGGAACTCTCCTACGTCACACAAGTGATGCTCTTCTGAAAACGAGAATGGGTTAGGATGAAATGGTTAAAGATGAAGGAAAAAAAAAAAGGCAAAATGAAAGTGAAAAAACGGAAATAAAACGATTCTGCAACCAAAGATCAAAGCAAGCAATAGAAATAATAGAAAGTAATAATTTAATGGTATGTAATGCCCTTGCTTAGGCTGTAGAGCTCTGACATTCAGCTGCAGGAGTTCACTGGGAGCTGCTCATAACCTTTCTGATCAGACATCAACAGCATTAGCATAAAATACTTTTATGAAGTACAATTATAAGAAATTCTGGGTTTTTTTAATAAACATTTCACAATTAAGTAAATGAACAAGCTTTTAAGCTGTCATATTACCAGCAGGGAGGTACCTCCTTTGTCTCTCCTGTCACAGAATATATTTTTTAATTGTTTCAAGTTATCAAATTTTCAAGGATACATTTTTGTGACTAAAGGTGTGCTTAAATAAACATATATATAAACTATTTTTAAATATGCATTTAATAACCAAATCCTTCCTCAGTTTTACATAAAGACTACTTTATATTTCCTGCAACAAATTCGCAAACAGAGGATTTAGTTATTTAAAGTCAACACTGTGACACCTTGAAAACAATGGTTTTTAAAAGAGGGCAGTTCTGGAAGTCTGGCACACCCACACTATCTGCTGCATTCAACCACCAAAGTCTGATGTCCTTGAGATCTAGAGTTAATTAACTCAAGACTATTCCATCATTATTTAATGTAAAACTATTCTAACATTAATTAGAGCTCACAAAACCTCAGTGCGATATATTATATTTATTTTATCAATATATAAATTACAGGGCATTCCACAAGGTTACATTGCAGATTACTGGGAAAAGGTTTCTTGATTATTCTTACACTGACACAAGAGAGAAATAACTTCACTGGAGTCAATACTGTCACAAAGATATAAAGCCACGTATAAAGAAGGAGACGATTAATACCAAATACACTTGTAGATCTATCCATTGGTTTAGCTCACCCCAAAAGCCAATGGGTGTATTATTGCTATGGGAAACAACAACAGGAACTTTTTGTTAAAGTTACCATTGGATCATTTCATATGTGCAGACCTCATTTCCCAGGTCAGGCTCTGAACTGCTGATGGCAATCAGTTTCAAATAAGCCAAATTTGCAACTACTATGTAAACATGTATAATATTGTTTAAACTAACTACATCACAGTTTCTAGAACCCTGTAAGAATTGAGGCATTTTTGTTATATCTTAATTTCTTCCCTTTACTTAAACAGCAAACAGTGCTCAGGCATTTAAGTTGTTTATTTTCTCTGAGAAAAATGAGCGACAGTATAATTAAGAGTGTAAGTTTACATGAACATGGAAGTGGTTTTGCTTAAAGCTTTCAGGGAGATAATTAAAGGTCCTGCTTTGATAGCACGTCTTGGCAAATTTTAGCATTTCAAAGATACACAGTAGTATGGGCAACACATGCGTGAATAACTCTTTAATATTTGTTTTTATGGTATTCTTGAAATCCACAATAAATTTCTGTTTCTTTATGGAAACCCTGTACTACAGTGTATTACATGTCTCTGAAAGTGCTGGTTTGAACTATTTTCTTTTGCATAATGATAGCATTATCTTTGTTTTCAGCTGCTATCTTTAAAGAATGAATTGGACCAGTTAATCACAAACATGCACTAATTAGTGGGGTTTTAAAAAAAGGAGAAACTATTCCTAAAAAAGTCATCTAGGATGGCCTTAGAAGTGAGGAAAACAGTTCTTTTCAGTGACACCTCTCCTCACACTTTTTCCTTCTGTATTACATGAACTGCACAGGCAGGTTCCCAGTGGATGAGAAAAATCACGTTTTTAACATCCCAGTTCTTTGAGATACAGAGCAGATGGTTAGAAATCATTCCTCTATGGGTAAATGAAAGCTTTGCCTCCCTAAGGATAGTAATCCTATACTTCTATCCTGTGCTGCAAACACCTGGCAGTGCCTCTTAGAAGGAAAGTTTGGGAAAAAAAAAAAAAAAAAAAGGTTACTGCCTTTGTTTTAAAGTCAACATTTCCAGAGTCAAAATTGTGTTTGTGGTGGTTTTGTTTTTTAAAGATGAGCATATTTTTAAGAGGACAAAGCTCAAAATCTCTATTAGAAAAGCAATTACAAATATAATTCATGCAATTACACCAATGTTGGAAAATCAAAATTCCATTATGCTGATAAGAGAAAAGGGGAAAAAAAAGGCACACAAGGCAGTGACCAATGTCTGCCTATACCAGGAATGCTCCTGGCTTAACAAGGCAGTTGCCTCTGCAAACATACATTCAGTTCCTAAATAACAAGGGATAAAGATCACTGTGATCACATGGACTGGTAGAGGTCAAAGGGATCTGGATCCTTCTTATTTGAGGGAATGCAATAATGAAAAGCAGGTCAACAGGGCTCTTGAACTATACAGGAGATAACATTTATATAACTGAGTGCTTCCTCATTCTACCATGAGAGTCTCAATGATTCGCCGTGAATCTAATTAATGGCTGCCTTTGTCAAGGAACCAGGCATGCAGAGAAGCTGCCCATTTCCAGAACTGTGCTTCCCTGCAGGGCTCAGCACTGTCCCTTCCTACTTTCTTTCAGCAGCCCCTTGCTTGGGTGCTCTGTGTATCTGCCAGGCTTCTGCTCCGGTCTAGGTGACCCCACCACCACCCTTCGATGGCAGTTCTTGGCGTGCTGTCTTCAGAGCACTTCCATCCCCATCTGCTGAGAGCACCTGAGAGCCTGAAAAAACGACCCTCCCATATGGCAGCACTCTTCAAAGTGAACAAAACTCAGCCTGCTAAAGTCTTGATCCGTTACAACAGGGAGTCTGCTCATTAGGCTTCCTCTAAACGTTCGGAAAAACCACATGTGCAAACTAAGCACAAACAGAAGCTTTTGAGTGATATGATATAGCACAATGTGAATGAGTGTTTAGGGATGAGAGTTCATCATAACATAATTTTTTAAAGCTTTTATAACAGTAGTTTAAGATAAACATGTTTCGTGAATTCAATTTCATTAACTTTTGCGCTTAAAGAACGACATTTTCACCACATTTCAAGGGAAACAAAAAACTTTGAAATTTTCAATTCCCTCTCCTTTTACAAGAAAGGAAAAGGGCAAGAAAAGGTGCACATAAACTAGGAGTTGTGTCTGTAAGTGTGCTCTCCTTTTCCATTTGAGAATGGCAAGATCAAGGAAAGAGCCATGAAATCCATGAAACAAAAGATAAACACATACAAGTTATCAGTTGGTTTATCCCCAGCTGTGGACTCAGACAAAACTTCCAGGAGAGAAGAGGAATTGTCTGCCAAAATATTTTTTTTTTTTTTTTTCAGAAGCAAAAGATCAAGATGACTAAGAAAGAGCAGAAAGACCAACAGGAGTAGTCAGAGAAGTACAATCTGTACATTTTCATTTGGATCCACTGGTGACTGCATCACCTGTCTGCATGACTAGGAACTTCTCCCAGTGATAGTAAACCCATTCTGCCATGTTTTCAGCTATTATGCAACAAAAAACTTGCACTTTTAAGTTCTTAATTAGTTTTGCTTTGATTTTAATTAAGTTATCTTCATTACAAGAGCTTAAGAACTCAGAACTCTTTTTTTTCCCCCTCTCAAAAGCATGTTTTCCATTTGGGATTTTCTTTGATCTCTCACTGAAACATGGGAGAGTTTGCAGATTAATTCCAGCAAAATTTACTCCAAAGCTGAAAAGTATATTCCAGTAGCAATTTATGACAGAATTCATCACATACTAAAACCTAAATTACTGTAACTGAAAGGGAGATGGGAAGAAAGAGTGTGCACAGCACTTCCCACGTATGACTTTCAGACTTTATATAATACTTTTCAAATCTTTTATACCTTTTGAGTTAAATCTACATTTTTAGAGTCCAGCACACAGTAAAACATTTACATTTTGGTTGCACTAAACTATAGACAAAATCCTTGGAATGCATCTTGCAAAGCAGTAAATAGTTTTATATTCATGGTCTAAAAATTTGAGATCAGCTATTTCTGTCCTACCCAAGTTCAGTACAATGTTGTGTTCAAAGTCAAAGTTTTATTCACAGAACCCAAAAAATCTCCCTCAAGATCTACCAGACCCTGATTTTTGCTTCCACAGTGCAAACAGGCTTAAAGAGCTCTGGTTATGTTAATATATATATATATATAAAACTTCTAAACAGGAATATGGATGTTTTATGTGTATTTATTCAGTTCCTGACATATTAGTTATCACTTACTCAGCATTTACTAATCAACTAATTGCTTTATCCATAGGCAAAGCACACGCACAGGTATCAGTCAGTAAAAGCACCATATGTTCAGTTTAAGCCACATACGTTTAAATTCCATGTGTCAGCTTCCCTCAGTCTGCACATCTTCCTCCCAACAAGGTCACAGGCATCTTGTTTGGAGTCTGGTCAGTCTTTTGATTGACATCAGACATCCTAATTCTGAGCCCATAACATAATCTGTAATGTTCATGCTCAAATTCCTTGTTTAGATCTAGCACATCTATAAGAATTCCTCATATTTTTCAGATTTGCTCTGTGCTAGTACAACTTATGGATCAGACTAAGCAAATATTGATAGAGATCAGTATTAACAAGAAGACTAGAAATATCCACTATTTCGTGCAAACCCTGAAGTATTTTTGGAAGTAGGCAGGTGATAAGTCTAGGGGCAACCTTGTTCCTTGTTCATTTTTGTTCTGCCTTTGTCAGAAACCTATTTCCATTAAGGAGGCTGACCCTGAGTCCCCTCCTGTGGATTTGAACCAGAGAAGTTATTATTCAGACTTAATTTGGCACACTTTATGGACAGAGAAATCTAAGAACTACTCAGATAATGACAAACACCCAAATATACCTGAAGCAATTTTTACCTAATTAGCAAAGAGTCACACAATAATACATATCTCAGCAAACTACAAAATTACAAGACAGTGATGGTCTGTAATGGC